TCACAAGAATGAAAGGTGTGTCCACGTTCCATACTTTATAATATGTCCTCAATAATATATCAATCTTGATTCTTTTCTGATTTTTGGTTTATTTGTGATGATATACTTGCAGAACTGAAGAATCTATCTTCTCTTGGCCAGTTCTCGTTCGTGTTTTCTTCCTAGGTTTCAGCGGGTGGGTACATCATCTCTCCTTTATTGTTTAATGTTTTCTTATGAATCTAGATTTTGGGAGGCATATACCATATGTTTCCAATATTTTATTTTGCCATAAGAATAATATGAGGTCCTAAAACAATAATATAATATGAGGTCCATGTTATGAACTCTGTATACGTATCAACCACCTAATGGTTTGATGAATATTTAATGACATGGATTTTCACGTCATCTATCGAAAATAGACAAAACTGTGTGCTACTCTGTTATCTTATTATAAACAACTAGGCCTAACATATGTTCTAGTATTTTCCACATCGTGACGTTTCTTTTTGAGCGGCGTATATCGCACACTATGTTTTCTGTCTGTTACTCATATAAGAAAATGCATGACGTTGTCGTTTGATCATAATATTCTGCTGTCTTGCAAGCACACACGTACTTGCATGCATTTTAAATTGCATGCATATTTAATTAACATAACTAAAATGTTATTCATGCATACATCCACTGATTATGTTGAAACAATTCAAATATGTGAAGGATATTTCTGTTCCAAAACTTGGCATTTGTGGGACTAAGCTTCAGCTCACCCATTGTGGTATGTGCAATGGGATTGCTCATCCCTTCTTTCTCCTTCCTTCTCTCTCTTATTCTCGGGTAAGCCATATCTCTTCACAATCTCCTAAACATTATATGTATATTTTCAAAGATTTTAATAACTATCTATGCATATATAGAAGGAGCAAGTTAGATTGGAGAAACACGAGCACGAGGGCTAAAGTGATGGGAACAATAATCTCAATAAGCGGAGCATTTGTTGAAGAGTTGTACAAAGGTCCCTTCATAAGACCAGCTTCGTCTTCTTCTCCAAATCGTCTTCTTAAATCAATCCCTAAACTCTTGGTCTACTACAACATGCCCGACAATTGGTTTCTCGGCGGTATCTTTTTGGCCGCCGCTGTTTTTTCCGTCTCCCTCTTCAACGTTATTCAGGTAATTTAACAATAATAAAACCCATCCAATGTTAAAACCATCGTTATGCATGTTACTTCATTTTGAGATTAAATTTTTGTTTTGTCTTTGGCAGGCAGGAACGGTCAAAAAGTATCCACACGTGATGAAAGTGGCTTCGTTTTACAGCATAGTCGGGACGATCCAATGTTTGATTTTTTCGTTGTTTATGGAAAGAGACCTAAGTGCATGGAAGATCCAACCTAACTTCGATCTTTTCCTCATTATCGCCACGGTAATCAAAACTATATATCTACTCTAAGATAATTTATAAACAAAAGTCAACCATAGTTCACGAATCTAATATTAGTGATTATCATGATGTGGTTAAAAAAAAACAGGGAATATTCGGAAGTGTGGTACGAACAAGTGTACACGTAAAGTGTACCCAAATGAAAGGACCTTATTACGTTCCATTATTCAAACCCTTTGGAATCTTTTGGGCAACACTCTTTGGCACCAGCTTCTTCGTCAACAGTCTTCACTATGGCAGGCCCGTTAATAGATTCATTAATTATTCTCATTATTGATTAGCATGCATGAGTATTGAGTATTTGTTGGTGCATGAATGCAGTGTGTTAGGAGCAGCCATAGGTGGTGTGGGATATTACACTGTGTCTTGGGGACAGTTAAAGGAAACCGAAGAAAAACAAAATCCAAAGGAAGAAAGAAAACACATCAAAAGTATTCATCATCGCGAAAAACATGAATACAGAGTTCCATTGCTTATGAATAAGGAAGAAAGTCCTGTGTGAATTTTGTATTATATATTTTTTCTAGAAGAAAATGAGGGTCGTTTAAATATTTTGGCCCGTTTCTTTGATGGCATGAATAAGAAATGCGTGTGAGAGTGTGTTAAGTGGTTAGAGTCAATAGGAGATTGCTGAAGTAGGCTTTTTGGTCCGAAAAGGCAAAATCCAGCCCAATATGTACATACATTTCTTTGTATATCTACCATGTTTTTATGCAATGAATAATCTCCGCAGGACCGCATCATGGATGGACTA